CAATTTTTAACCATGAATTGTTAAACATATTTTTATACCACTATTAATATTTTTTAATTTCTTTTGTTTTTAAAAATATTAATTCGCCTATAACGCGGGGATCATCTAATTAACATTTATCTCGAGTTCATGTTGGATATATTTATAAAACAAAATTGAACAATTTTTAATTTTCTTTTACGTTTACTAACCCAGATATATTTGCACTAGTGACGGTGGTTCAAATAGAGATCCTCCAAACTCATCAGATATGTTTGCCGGCCACTTCCCCGAGGGTTTAAGTGTCCTAGTATTTGATGAAGATCCGGCGTATCTACAAGAAGTGGAGAAGCATCTCGTAGGTTTTCAATACCGAGGTAGTGATTACGATTACTAAGGCAATAAGGATAAAGTTTGACCTAGTTGTTTAAATCAAATATATATCTATATGTTTCAGCCTGCATATGCAATGAAGAGCAGCGAGCCATGTATCTACTCCGCAACCATAGGAATAGATTCGATATCGCTATCATCGAATCACAAAATTCAAAGGGTGATAGATCCCGGCTAATCTCGGAAATTGGAGTAGAAATGGATCTTCCAATCATTAGTAAGTGTATATCTAGCACTAATCTTCTTTACTTAATTAGGGAAACACAAAAAGGAAACCCTCATTAATTTTGACTCTTGTTGTATGCAGTAATGTCTAAAGACGATTCAGTGGAATCAGTGGTCGATTGGATGATGAATGGTGTCTGCGACTATCTTATAAAACCAATAAACCCTAAAGATCTAAGAATGATATTCAAACACGTGGCAAAGAAGATACAAGGACGGAGGAGTGTGGCTACCGGAGAGGAGGCAGAAGAGAAGGCGGCAGGAGCCACGGAGAAGTCATCCTCTATGGAAAATTCCACCATAAAAAACCCTAACAAGAGAAAAAGAGGCATTGAGGAGGATCATGATCGTACTTCCTTCTCCAAAAAAAGGCGAGTGGTGTGGGAGGATGACCTTCACAAAAAGTTTCTAACCGCCGTGGAACAATTGGGCCCCGCCGGTGAGTCACATACATACATAACGATTGATATATATTTACTAGCGTTTACCATTTCGGATGTATTCATGCAGATGCTGTTCCAAAGAAAATTTTAGAGTTGATGAATGTTCCCAACATCTCTCGAGAAAACGTAGCCAGCCATCTCCAGGTAACATTTCTTCTTATCCCACATTTAAGTTTTTCAAGTCGAATTCGGATTCGAATAATTTGATTTTAAATTGAGAATGCCCATATATATGCATATTTTTGGGATACATATATATAGTTGCACCGAAGATACATATAACTGCACTTTGGATACTGATTTAGATTCGAAAACATTTTTTTTTATAACACCATACTAACATAGATATTTTATGTTTATCACTCTTACCAATTACACTATTTAGGATTGTAGACTTTAGAATGTACCATTCTATTTT